ACCTGAGGTCAGGAGTTCGAGAGACCGCCGCAACATAGCAAAACCCCTTCTCTTATTACAAATACAAAAAAAAAAATATTTAGCCGGGCGTCGAGTGGTGGGGTGCCTGTAGTCCTAGCTACTCGGGAGACTGAGGCGGGGAGAATCCTTGAGCCCAGGAGGCGGAGGTTGCAATGAGCTGAGATTACACCACTGCACTCCAGTCTGAGACTCTGTCTCAGAAAAAATAAATAAATAAAAGTAACGTGCTCAGGGGTCTGCACCAGTTAATGAGTTGATGAAGTTCAAATTTCAACATCGGCATGCCTAGGCTCAAGGCAGCCCACGCTCCTCTACTAGCTTTTGGGGGCTCTCTTACCGCTCGTGGCCATGCTGTTCAGAAGGATGAGGCTGGAAACTAGGAAGAAAGAAAATCAGACGGAGAGCATGTGTTGCATCGCTAGAGATGGAAAAGATACTGCACTAAGGTTCCTGGCAGCTGAGATTGCGCGAGAGGGCCAGAGACACTGAAAAGAATGATCAGGAGGTCGGAACTGGGGCAGGTCGGTGATACCCGGGTGTGAGGGTGAGGAAGCAGGCAGAAGTCTGGGGTGATGACCCTGCATTACCGGCTCCCAAGTGACTTGGCAGGGCCGTTGGGCTGAGGACAAGGGAAGCACAGGAATGTGCTGGCCTTTAATACAGCGCTCCCTGAACATTCTGGCATCCGTCGCTTCGCCCCCCATTGACCTAAAGAAAACAAGCTCATTTTCTCGGCAGGTAGCACAGGTGATCATACAGTCATTAAATCGTCATTCTTTTCTTTGGCCAACTGCCCTCCACCCCAATGCGGCAAACGTGTGGTGCACCAGTGGGCTCAATGAGCAGATGGTGGATCAGATGGCGCAGGATCCGCTGAGGCCCTGGATGCCAACCTTTCCAGCTTGGCCAGGATTTGTCTCAGCTCGTCCTTGGCCCTACGCAAATACCAACAGGCGGGGTGGCTTCAACTAGAGGCTTTTGGCTATTCTACGTCAGCGGTGTCTCTTTTTTTTGTGTTATCTTCTTTTCTCGTTGAGATGGGGTCCTTAGACTCTGTACAGCTGAGGATGGAGGGCCTGCAGTGGTGAGAGTCTCTGCTCGTCGCAGGGCTCCGCCTCCCGGATTCACACCCTCTCTTCGCTGCCTCGCCAGCGCCTGCGCGGGAGACAGCTGGGAACTGCAGCGCTGGCGGCCTTGCCAGTCGGGACACGACCCGGGGGGCGGGCCCTAGAAGCCCAGCCGGGGCGAGATGTTGTTGTAGTTATTTAGAGGACCGACCCGGGGTAATGTACTTCCGGGTGGTAAGCCAGGATAGTCTCGATCTCTTGACTTAATGATCCGTCCCGCTTGGCCTCCCAAAGTGCTGGGATTACAGGCGTGAGGCCACCCGCGCCTGGCTTTTTTTTTTTTTTTTTTTTTCTTTTTTTGAGGCAGGGGTTTTCGCCATGTAATGTCCAAGCTGGTCTCATAGCAACCCATCCCTGACGCTCAAGTGACGCCAGACCGGACCATGGGCGGTCGGCGCTCCTGGCACAGGCCGTGTGTGGGGAGTGGCTGGATTAAGGTGTGAGGCACTTGTCCAGCTTTATTTCTCCAGCAATCGCAGGCAGGAAGTCCAAAGATCAGGGTTGCCGGCGGGTCGGGTTCTCCTGAGGCCTCTCTCCGTGGCTTGCGATGAACGGTGGCCACAGTATTCTCACCGGTCCTCCACGCCGACCCTTTCACTCTGCTGACAGTGCTATTCTGGTGTTTTCTTTGGTTTTTTTTTTTTTTTGATACGGAGTGTTCTCATCGCTTGGTTCCTCTCACCGCGCTGGGAGTCGCTCCAGTGCACAATCGATAGTTCACTTCAGCTTGAACTCCCAGGTCAAGTTGGATTTCGCTCTGGCATGACCCTACAGAGCCCGCTGTGTGTCATGTGTGTGAATAGCTGGGACCGACCGGGACGCGCACTTGCCATTCATGGATGTGATGGTCGCACAGCGCCATAATTTTGTGGGTTAAATTTTATTGTATATCTTTACTTATTAGTTGATAGTATGGTATCAACTATGCTTGGTTGGGTCTCGTTAAAAGATGCCAGGTGCTGGATGTTACTAATATCCATCTGGCCCAGACTGGTCTCCAACTTCTGGGTCTGATAGCTCGGACAGCACGCGCGTTGTCTGGCGATCCTCTGGGCTGCTGTTCTGGGACACAGTGCCTGGGCATTACTCTGGCGGGCTCTGGATAGCTGCTACCATCATATGCATCATGGACCCCAGTCCTATTGAATTAGGATCCCACTCTCAGACTCAGTTTTATTCCTGGATTGGACGCGACTCGTTTTGTAACAGTCTTCTTTTTGTGTTTTAGATTATTGTGATTTTTTATTTTATTTTTTTTATTTTACTTTATGTTCTAGGGTACCTTGCACAATGTGCAGGTTTGGTTACATTATGAATACATGTGCGACAGTTGGTGGTTGCTGCACCCATTTAATCCAGTGCATCTTAATGCATGTAGGAGCACAGTACTATCTCCATAGTGCTGTGCTCGCTACACTCCTTTCCCTCTGCTATACCCCGTCAACAATTGTTGGTGAACACAGTGAGTTGGCGACTACAGTACCGGGAGAGGATTATTAATATATGGGGGGGCGCGTCTCCAGCTGAGAGGGTGAGGTGGCAAGGCGGGGGTTGGGTGGGGGGGCCATCGCGCGAAATGTGTGTGCGGTGGAACACAGTGGGGACACGGGCCTGTAGGAGGGGGAGGAGATGGGGGGAGGTGAATCTAGCCAGGTGTGGATGGGCTGTGACCAGAGTGCGTGTGAGAGTGTAAGGATGGGGGTGGAGGGGATCGCCCGTTGTGTTGTTTGATAGGTAATGTAGATGAGATAGGGGGTGGAACAGAACGGATTGTTTGGGTGGGGAGAGATTGACAGTGGAGATATTGCTGTATCGTGTGTGATGTTCCCCTTCCCTTGTGTCCCAAGCTGATCTCAGTTAGATTCGAATCTCCTCCAACCTAGGAGTGAGAACGTGCTATGGTGTGGTGTTGTTTGGTTGTTCTTGCGAGTGGTAGTTTTTTGTGCTGTATGCTCCGAGATGGGATGGTTTTCCAGCTTGCGGTGATCGCATTTGTTCGGCGCTACGAAAGGGATCGGATGAATCTTTGCATCTCTCGTTTTTTAGTGGTCTTGTTTATGAGTGAACTTCGCTGTGAGTCTGGTGTTGTCTGGGGCTAGTGGTATAATTGTGCTACATCTCTCTTGGAATCCAGTCTGGTTCAGTGGATGGACATCTGGGTTCGGTTCAAGGTTCATTGCTTATTGTGTATTATCAGTTGGCTGCCCAGATTATTAATGGGCGATACGTGTGCATGTGTCTTTATAGCAGATGGAGTGGTATTGGGGGTAGGGGTGACACAGGGGAAATGACAGACCAGGTGCCTGCCTGGAGGACTCACAGTCTAGAGGACGAGATGGAGAATAGACAGGTAAGTTCACCCCCGACTGGGCTAATTTCTATGGAGAGGGCTGGGTGCAGTGGCTTGCACCTGTAATCCCAGCACTTTGGGAGGCCAAGGTGGGTGGATCACCTGAGGTCAGGAGTTCGAGACCAGCCCGGCCAACATAGCAAAACCCCTTCTCTATTACAAATACCAAAAAAAAAAAAATATTTAGCCGGGCGTAGTGGTGGGTGCCTGTAGTCCTAGCTACTCGGGAGACTGAGGCGGGAGAATCCCTTGAGCCCAGGAGGCGGAGGTTGCAATGAGCTGAGATTACACCACTGCACTCCAGTCTGAGACTCTGTCTCAAGAAAAAAATAAATAAATAAAAGTAACGTGCTCAGGGTCTCACAGTTAATGAGTGATGAAGTCAAATTCAAATCGGCATCTAGCTCAAGCACCCACCTCCCTACTAGCTTTGCTCTCTTACTGCTCTGCCCATGCTGTTCAGAGAGGATTGAGGCTGGAAAACCAGGAAGAAAGAAATCAGAGCGGGAGGCTGTGTTGCATCCTGGATGGAAAAGATACTGCATAAGGTCCTGGCAGCTGAGATTGGGAGGAGCAGAGACACTGAAAAGATGATCAGGAGGTGGAACTGGCAGGTCTTGGTGATACTCCGGTGTGAGGGTGAGGAAGAGGCAGAAGTCTGGGGTGATGACCTGATTTACGCCTCAGTGACTTGGCAGCCCCTTGGGCTGAGGACGGGAGCACAGGAAAATGTGCTGGGCACTTTAGAACAGCTCCTGGAACATTCTGCATCGTCCTCCCCCATGAACCTAAAGAAAACAAGCTCATTTCTCCAGGTACACAGGTGATCATACAGTCATTAAATCTCCATCTTTTCTTTGCCAACTCCCTCCACCCCAATGGCCCAAAGTCGTGTCTCACCAGTGGCTCAATGACAGATGCTGGATCAGATGGCCAGGACCCTGAGGCCCCTGGATGCCAACCTTTCCCAGCTCCAAAAGTCGTGTCTCACCAGTGGCTCAATGACAGATGCTGGATCAGATGGCCAGGACCCTGAGGCCCCTGGATGCCAACCTTTCCAGCTGCCGGATTTGCTCGCTCTCCCTGCCCTACAGCAAATACCACAGCGGGGTGGCTTCAACTAGAGGCTTCTTTTGTTTTCTCACGGGTTCTTTTTTTTTTTTTTTTTTTTTTGGAGATGGAGTCTTGCTCTTGTCGCTGAGGCTGGAGTGCAGTGTGAGATCTCTGGTCACTGCAAGCTCCGCCTCCCGGATTCACACCATTCTCCTCCTCAGCCTCCGGAACAGCTGGGACTGCAGGCGCCTGCCATCACACCGGCTAATTTTTTTTGTATTTTAGTAAAGGAGACGAGGTTTCACCGTGTTACCAGGATGTCTCGTCTCCTGACTCTCATTGATCGCCCGCTTGGTGCCTCCAAAGTGCTGGATTCAGAGGCGTGAGCCCACCGCGGCCTGGGCTTTTTTTTTTTTTTTTTTTCTTTTCTTTGAGACACGGGGTTTCCCCATGTTGGTCCAACTGGGTCTCAAAACCCCTGACCGTCAAGTGACCAACCCACCTGGGCTCCTAAAAGGCTGGGATTACAGGGTGTGAGCACTGTGCCCAGCCTTAAAATTCTCACAATTCTGCAGGCCAGGAAGTCCAAGACAGGGGTGCCGGCGGGGTCGGTTTTCTCCTGCGGCTCTCTCCGTGGCGCCTTGCAGATGACACGGCCACCCTTTCCTCGACCGCATCCTCGGCCCGACCTTTCCTCTGTGCACATGGCATTCCTTGTGTTTTCTTTGTTTTTTTTTTTTTTTGACGATACAGCTGTCTCACTCTGGTTCCTCCAGGCTGGGAGTGCAGTGGCAACTAATCATAGTTCACTTCAGCCTTTGAACTCCCAGGTTTGCAAGTGATCCTCACCTGCCTCAGCTCCTGAATAGCCGGAGCCAGATCAGGCCTTGCATTCATTATGCCCAGCTATTTGCTATTTTATTTTTATTTATTTTATTATTTTATTTTTTTTGTAAAGATGGCGGTCTACTAATCTTGCCCAAGCTGGTCTCCAAACCTTCTGGGCTCAAGCGATCACTCCTCACCGTCGCGCACGGGGCTTCCTGAGTCCTGGGATTACTCTCTGGCGCCTGTGCTCTTCCTTCCCTTCTCATGAAGACCCCCAGTCCTATTGAATAGGATCCCACTCTCAATGACCTCCAGTTTATCCTGAATGACCCTTTTTTAAATTTTTTTTTTTTTTTGTTTTTTAAGATTTTATTTTTTATTTTATTTTTTTTATTTTAACTTTATGGCTTCTAGGTACCTGTCCTAATGTGCAGGTTGTTACATATGAATAATGTGCCATGTTGGTGTGCTGGCACCCATACCCGTCATTTACATAGGTATACACTCTCCTAATGCTATCCCTTGTCCCTTTCCCTACCACAATAGGCGCCTCCAGTGTGTGCATCGTTGCCTTGCGCCCTTCCTGTGTCGCAAGTGATCTCATTGTTCAAGTTCCCAACCTATGGAGTGAGAACGTGCGGTCGTTTGGTTTTCTGTCTTGGGGCGATAGTTTGGCTGCACAATGATGGGTTTCCAGGCTGCACTCCATGTCCTAACAAAGGAAAGCATGAACTCTCCCTTTTTTATGGCTGCAATAAGGTAATTCCTGGTGTCATATGTGCCAACATTGTTCTTAAAATCCAGTCTGTCATCTGATGGAGCCATTTGGTGTTGAGTTCCAAAGTCTTTGCTTGCGTGAATCAGTGCTGGCA